AGCAGGTATGAGCATATGTTCATCCACGTCTCCAAATCCACACGGACGGTGTGTGCTTATGGGTTACATTTTTCTTGTAGTTTTTGCCCATACATTCCCATATACTCGCACATTCATACTATATAGTCGTTCATATATGTCTTTCGCTCATCTATATTCCCCCATTCCTATCAGTAAGTGACTCGCATTACACACTTTCTTATGGTATCATCCTATATATTCGTGTACCCATACCCGCACTTGGGGGATACAGACGAAACAAAGAGACATGGCTCACTGCAGCAGTCTTCGCCTGTGAAGTCCAAAAAAGGTTGTCAAATGAGAAAAGAGACATGTGCAGCTGCACTAGACTTAGAAGATGTGTACAACAGAGTACCATTTGAATATCCTCTATATCAGAGTCGCCATTTTGACAAGAAAAGCTAAAGAAAAGAGCTAATATGTTATCCCAAACTAAATAAGCTGATATATTAAAGTTACAAATAACACAGAAAACATCATATACTTTGTGCACATACTTCACAAGCTGCAAGTATCTCTCTTCATCACTTGCTGGGAGCCGCAGCACATTTTCAGAGACGGGTGATGCTCATGTGTGGTTGTTGGTCCTCAAAACCGATAACCATCAGCACAGGATTGCTTCAAAGTTATCCGCTGTCTCCAATGCTATGCAACGTGCACACAGTGCTGATAACTGAGCAGCAGTTGCACTGGAGTGGCATGACTTATTCATTTGCTGATGACCTCTTAGTATATCGACATGGAAGAGATCGTCAAGAGATTGCCAAGTCCACGCATTGTGAACTTAATCGCATATCCTCCTGATGTGCAGATTCTAATGCTCATGTCAACCCCTCGAAGGCTTCAGTAACGTGGTTCTCCTTGAACACTCATATAGAGACTGTTTCTGCTTCTGTTCCAGGGACTTGTACTTTCTGCCATTAAATATAATCCTGCTATCCTCACTGTCATATTCAATTGAAAAAAAAAAATGAGAAGGTGCAAAAGGAAGCAATGCGCATTATTCCGGGGTGCACTGGAGACGCCTCTTGTGTAGCAATGAGGTACCTTCTTGACTTCCCTACCATGAACTACAGGATCAAGATCTGGAGGGCTCGTGCATACCTCAAGAAAGCTCAGATCTGAAGCACCCTTAACTGGATACTGGATAAAATCGAACACAATTGTTTTTCCTCTTTTAGCCGCCAGAGGGCCTGCTTTTTTGAAGAGAGGTTTCTTTGCTATCTTATTTCAGTTTGATTCTTTGTGGCTATCGTTTTCGCGTGAGTATTATGTGATTGGCAACATGTCTGGCGTAGTCTGGCTTAGCAAAGGGCTATTTTTCCTGGCGTTATGGAGGGGATACCGTTAGTCCTAAAAATAACTGAGTGCCTGGGGCGGCCTGGATCGGGAATGGGGGATCTGCTGTGAGTCCGGTGCTGGCGTTCTCTGCATATGGCGTCTCCTGCTGGTAGCTCTTGTCAGTAAGCTATCTTGTTGGCTGTCTTTCTTTTCGGCTGCTGTTTCCTGCGTATTGTGAACGGAGTCTACCAGTCATGAGAAGTACTAACAGTTTGCCTGGGTCGGCGCTTGGAACAGGTGGGTGGAACTTGTTGGCGTTCCTGGCTGTACGGAAGGGGGCGATGCGACTTCTAGTACTGATGTCGTCCGCGTGTGCCTTGCTTTTACTGATTTGACCTTTGTAGTGTTTTCAGTTTCGTTTCTTCTTCTGATCTTTTGTCTATTAGTTTCTGGTAGGATGCTGTCGCTTCATATAGCAATCCGTAAACCATATCACGTCTTGTTCTGAGTTCAGTAGGGGGTAGGCGTTGCTTTCCTTTCTCCTTTTCCTCGTCGAAGATTAATTTCAATAAGTAATTTCTCGCAACCAGCCTGTGCGGGAACATCTTTTAATTCGCGCTTCGGATCAGTTCTTGAAAGTTAGCACGAGGCAGCAGTGCTGTTGAGAGAGTTTCTTTCAGGCGCTTAGCAATGGGTGCGACGTTCTACAATAGACATGCTACATGAGGTTCAGGTCATTGGTTATTTATGAGTGTTCGTGTGTGTATGAATATGTATGTTTATGTATGTTTATGTATATGTATGTATGTATGTAAGGGTATGTATGTGTCTCTGTGTCAGCGTGTGCACATATATGCATGTGTATGTATTGTGAGAGTGTGCATATTTATGTGTGTGTGTGTGCGAGAGAGAGAGAGAGAGAGAGAGAGAGAGAGAGAGAGAGAGAGAGAAAGATTGTGTGTGTATATATGTATGAGTGAGTGCACATATACGTATGAAAGTGTATATGTGAGTGTGTATGTATGTGTTTGTGTGCGTGCGTGTGTGTGTGGGGGGGAGGCTGGGGGTGTTGTCTTCGTATTCTTGTTCTCTACTCGTGGAAAACCTCGCAGCGCCATGGCAGGCAGAGATCTCTGAACGGGCCCTTCTGTTTGCCTCCCAAATGGCAGTTTTCCGTTATTTAACATTTCTGCGGTCCATATTCTTTGGATGGTCGACCTCAGGCTCTGTTACCGTTGGATATGTATACCAGTGCTCTATGTGCTGTTCTGTCTTTTGCGAATCTGTTCAGCAATGGCTCGGTGTTGACTATTTCCTTGATATCTCACCGTTTGTGAGTCGATTTTTCCTTGTTACGCCTAGCATAATACGTAAACATGTTATTTATGTCGTTACATGTTTTTTTGTGTGTTAGCGTTATATAAGGTGAATGTCTGACAGATATGTTTGTTATTAAGTAGTAAGCGTGGATATAAAAAAGGCAGTAATTGACAGAGGTGTCTCGGAGACTTTCTGTTATTGTTTGAATGTTTGTCTCTTTGCTTGTCAATGCCTGTTCTACGTCTTGAGATCGCAAAGCTGGTACTTTTGTTGTCCACATTCTGTCAAAGGGTGTCCCAGAAGTCTGTCTATCCATATACTTAAGGGGGCAGTTCTAGCAGGGAATTAGTGGCGTTAGAAAAAAAAACATAAACAATTCAATTTTAAAGATAGCACTCTTAAATTTTCAAACATAATGACCATATGATTAGGCTATCATATATAAAAAAAACATCTTTAGAATTCATTATATACATGTGAGATAACAATTTTAGTTAGAGTTACAGAAATTAGATCGGCGTCTGTGAATTAGGCGTTGCGAGCGAGCTTCAAACTGCCAGGGTGCTGGGTTCGATCCCAACAGCGGACGGGTTGTCTTGCGTTGGTTTGGGCAGTGGTGCCGGGACCTCACCGTTCAATGGCCAACTACTGAACTTAAAACTTGCCTAGAAAAATAACAACATCCACACACACACACACACACACACACACACACACACACACACACACACACACACAAGCACACACACACACACAGATGCTGAGGCTGGTTCTGCAACGTCTTGTAAATGATATGCCATGAACCAGTGGTTCCCAAACTGTCAGCCGCGGCACCTCAGGGAGCCGCAACCTCTTCACAGGGGAACCGCGAACTATCTGAAGATACAAAAGTTTCATTTGTTCGTGATCTCTTACATGCCATTAGTCATACTTTTACTTAGGTTAGGGCGCTTTTGAAAAATTGTTATTGAAAAAAGGCGCCGCGACTAAGAATAGTTTGGGAAACACTGCCATAAACTACAGAAAATAGAATGGGGGACGTCAAGTATCCCTGTAGATTATTGTCTCTGTAAATTTTTGTTTTGCCTACGATATGCTGAAAAGGACTTATTTAAACAAATACAAATGCTCTTTACTAAGTTTAATCTTCTGTAGTGTTGTGAAGCTCAGATCCCTCTTCTGTTTTGTGAAACTCTGGGTTTCGCTTTGCAACGTGCGAGGATGGCAAGCAACTGACGGTAGGTGTACACGATGGTTGGTAGTAGAAAGAGCAATTATCGTTGATAATTATGACAAATGCTCAACGACAATCAGGTAGCCTAGTCTAGGGAACGGTCCGACTTTCCATAGTGAACGGGCCACAGATGCCTCAGGCAGAATGTTGACGTACCACCATTCCCTGTATTCATATGCACAAAACTGAGTTAAATAAAAAAAAAATCATCTCCTTCTCTCTCTCTCTCTCTCTCTCTCTCTCTCTCTCTCTCTCTCTCTCTCTCTCTCTCTCTCTCTCTCTCTCTCTCTCTCTCCATATATATATATTGTCTTCATGGGGCAACGATAGAAGAAGAAAACGAGGAGGCTAACCCTATTCTGACCTCCATCCCCCTCATGGACTGCACATTAACAAAAAACTCATCGTCTTTTGGCTACAGACCCCTTACAACAATGACATCGTAAATCACGCATGCGGGTAGTTTTTTATTACGAAAATATATAAAACCGAATCAAAAGTAGATTTGCGAGCTTACAATATAGCAAACACAAAAGACAAGTTAACTTTGCGGCCACATAGCTTTCATCAGTACATACATATATAAAAAATAAACCACGAACACACAAAATCACCTAACTGACGAATCATGAGGCAGCCACATTGATGTCTAGCCAGTGGAATGAAAGGACATGTGCTAAAAGCTAAGCAGCCCGGGAATGTCAAGGGCTGTAACTCGCGTTTTGTTGTATATAAAAATGTGTTGACACTTCAGTTTCCTAGGTATTTACGTTCCCAAAATGAAAAAAAAGCCATTTGTAAGAGACTTGCTGACTCTATCGTTGGAGTAGCTAGATGTCTGTCACCTCGATGTCGTAGGCACCTTGATGAACCTGAGAATTTGTACACCGTGCAGTCTTGTGGCGGTGTCATGTTTAGTCATTCGAGACAAGTGTTCAGTTTTTCAGTGTGCACTATTTATTTATGTTCTGTCTACATTTGTTGCAGACTAGTAACACTAAGAAAAAAGACAAAGAAAAAAACAATCATACACACAATTTAACAAAAATGTGACATTAGCTTTCTGAACAAGTCTGATATTAAAACATACATCATTTAAAAAAGAAAAAAAAACTTTTTTTTTCTTTCTTGAATTTGTTGCTAGCTGCCCAGGATCGACTTGTGGGATTTAAACTGCAGGTTTTCATTTCACCGACACGGTATTTATATTCTATAGTAGACAGCAATAATCAGGCTAAGGCCATTTACACAATCAACCAAGATGCAATAGTCATCGAGAAAGTGGCTATATCATCCAACCCTTCTTCAGATTTTTTGACACTGTGTGAAGTCGAAATATACGGAGGTAATGTGTGTTGTGACGTTCCTCTTAGTGTGTTTTCAGTTGTTGTGTTGCAGTGTTTTGAAAAGAAAAAGCTCTAGACAGATGCACACACAAAACACACACACGCGCACGCAAACAGCACTGATGAATTCGATATTTTAACCAGAATGGCATCTATAAATTTAATTCTTCCACTAGTCATAGTTTGGGAGAAGTTCTTAGAACTGACTGAACGTGTACAAACATATTATAGACACGTATTCTCTGTTACATACATACAGAAGAGAAATGGGTCAAGTAGAAAGCGAGTTCAAAAAAGACTGATTCCTTGTGTGTGTGCGTGTGTATATGTATATATATGTGGGAAGATAAAGAAAACAGTGACAAATTCATTGCAGAAGAAGAAAAATAAAATGAAGAAGAAGGAGAAAAAGACGAAAAAGAAGAAGAAGAAGAAGAAGAAGAAGAAGAAGAAGAAGAAGAAGAAGAAGAAGAAGAAGAAGAAGAAGAAGAAGAAGAAGAAGAAGAAGAAGAAGAAGAAGAAGAAGAAGAAGAAGAAGAAGAAGAAAAAGAAGAAGAAGAAGAAGAAGAAGAAGAAGAAGAAGAAGAAGAAGAAGAAGAAGAAGAAGAAGAAGAAGAAGAAAGAAGAAGAAGAAGAAAAGAAGAAGAAGAAGAAAAAGAAGAAGAAGAAAAGAAGAGAAGAAAAAAGAAGAAGAAGAAGAAGAAGAAGAAGAAGAAGAAGAAGAAGAAGAAGAAGAAGAAGAAGAAGAAGAAGAAGAAGAAGAAGAAGAAGAAGAAGAAGAAGAAGAAGAAGAAGAAGAAGAAGAAGAAGAAGAAGAAGAAGAAGAAGAAGACGAAGAAGATGATGATGATGATAAAGAAAAAGAAAAGAGAAGAAGAAAAACACTATAGTTAAACCAGCCTCATACAAATAAAGCAGGCCATAAAAACAGAGCGTGCTCGCAAAACTCAAGTGCAAAATTAGGACCATCGTCCTTATAAAGATAATCTTTCGCCGGAGTTTACAGTCTGGGACATTATAAAGAAGTAGAAGAATCCTCCAGCACTGATGTTACTTTCTGTCCTAGTACCTTGGGCTTTACATTATAGACTCTGTCTGCGCTGCTGACCACTATGGACGTGACTGTGAGCTGGCATGTTCCTGTCCTAATGGTGAGGCGTGTCTTGTGACCACTGGTGGGTGTCCATCCGTTTGCCCTCCGGGGTTCGATGGCCCTGGTTGTTCAAAACGTAAGTTCTGCCAATCTCTTTGCCTCTAGTAGTTATTAATTTGTAAAAAGCATCATTTTAAATGCGTAACGCGTACACGTCCAGTTGCTGTTACATCAGACACCATACAACAAACGGTCAATGTTGATTTGCACAAAATTAGGAACAGAAGTATATATACATATGTGTGTGTGTGTGTGTGTGTGTGTGCATGTGTGTGTGTGTGTTTATCAGCAGGGCTTATCAACCCGGATAAGTCAGTCTAAAAGGAGCAGACCAACCGATTCATTATGGTCCTCCAGGCTTGGGAGTTAAAGCGTGGGACCGACCTCCTCAGCTTTCCTGAAATTTAATTAAATCACGAACAAAAATCTGATCCTCAATTTCGCGTGAATTTAGATGGCCGACAACCGTGAAACCATAGCACTTTTGTGATCTAGACCATGAAATGTGCGAACAGTTGATAGAGCTGGAGAAGCTATCCGAACTCACCACTGGGCTGTCAGATCACGGAATGGTTATACAAGCAGTTTAAGAAATGAGGTTGCCATGACCAGATCATAAAGTAGAAAATGGAATGAACATAGTATATGGAGGAACAACTCAAAACAAACATAGGTTAGATGCATATTAGGTCATGAAGTAAATTTTATAAAAAATTAATGTTCGGACCAATGAGTTACGTAGGAAATGAAAATAAGAAATATGTAGTGAATATGAATGAGCATGTACCAACTGACGATAAACAAGATGATTTTCAAGATGTTTTCAATTTAGACTGCCATAGTGGAAACTCCAAAGGAGGAGACATACATAAATATATATAGGTATCGTGTGATAACACAACTTTGAATAAAATAAACGACATTTTAATAAATACTGAAAATGTAATTTGATTTGATTTTTTTTTTAAATTCAAGAACCATCATCACAGCACTCGGGACATTCCCATAAGCGCTCCATCCGCATCTTCAGCAGCCAGCAAAGATTTCCGATATTAATGGTGCCAAAAATATTCTGATTAAACATCCGTCTTGCCTTTCCTCTGAGCCTCAAGCATCTGCCAGAACCTCTCCTCACTCCAAACTTCATCAATCTCACCAGACTGTGGTGATCAGTCTGCTCTTCCGAACTGTACACTCTCTCCCACAAGTCACAAACCACTTCTGCATTATCGTGCATCAGTATTTAACCAAATTGTGCAGAGCCACCCAGTCTGTCCGACTGAGCATTTCCCAACACACCGGCATACCCTGGTGAAAAAATCCAGACAATACTCCTCACCCGTGTTCTCCGCAGCTAGGCATGCCACTCTGCACAACACTTGCCTGTTCTGATCTTCCTCAGCATGCTTTTTGAGTCAGTTACAATCACGATGCGTGTGTGTGTGTCGTGTTCTCTAGCCAGCGGAAAGCTGCAGTGACCGCCTCTACCTCCTTTCTTGAGCTGGATGTCGTGGTATCATATGTTAGGTTCTTCTGCACCAAACGTCGACCATTAACTTTTGCTAAGAAACCCCAAGCACTCGTTTTGCCTCTTGACACTGAACCGTCTGTGTAAATGATCAAATCTTCTAAACGAGGATTATCTTGAATTAATTGTTGAATTTCCTCCTCTGTGGCACCTGCTAGCCAGTCTCTGCATTCCCGGCACAGTGTGATTATGACATTACACAAGTCCGACTATTCAGGTGGCACTTTGAACCACTCATCTCCTCGCCTAATGTTTTCAAGGATGCAAACCTGTCTGATTGTGTCTTCTTCCTGAGCCAACTATATTTTCCCTCTTATTAGCCGCTGACCCTCAACTGCTCCCAGAGCTTCGTGCAAAGGGTTGCCTGTGTCTGTAGCTACCCTGAGATATGACTTCGCCTGCAGCACCTTGTGCCTACCTGCAACAGTCGACACACCAAGGATGTATCGCATATCATCCGCAAAATTCAGTATCCTTTCAACTTCTGGTGCTTCTAGGCTTGCAATCTTGCTCGTATACACGTTAAAAAGCACAGGCGAGATGGCGGATCCCTGTGGCAGTCCTGGGGCCAAACTGCATGGTTTTGAGGTCTATGAGCCCGACGTGAATACAGGACAGCTGCAATCCAATTCACCATCCATGGACTTACCTCCTTCTCCTTCAGTGCAGTCATCAAGTTATCGTATCATAATCTTTTAAAAGCATACTCGAGATCCAGTGCTACCGCCATTGTTTCCTGTCTGTTTTTGGAACCATTCATAGACGTCAAAATCAAAAATTGCCTCATTTGCCCCTGTGTCCTTTCTCGGTCTGTAGCTTCCCAGAACTATTGGGAGACGCTTCCCCCTTTTCAAAAATTCTTGCAGCTTTACAGCAACTATTTTCTCCAAGACCTTCCCAAATGTGTTTTGTAAGGTTGAGCTTTGAATGATCCTTAAAAGGTTTTGGTAGTGGGATTAGATAGCTGTGCAACCGTCCTGTGGTACTGTTGCTATCTTAATGCTCTGGTTAAAACAGTCAGCCATCTCCGTCAGGTCCACATCGCTCAAAGCCTTCATGTGGCCATACCTGAGCCCATCAGGCCCTGGTGCAGTGTCTTTTGCCTTTTTCAATATGTGTTTGCTATCTTCTACTCTTATGATGTCTTCATAGTGCATATTTTTTAAGATGCCAGCTAACTCTTCTCTAACTGCATCCCTGATGTCTACATCATTATGATATGTCTGAGCTATAAAAGCCTCCCTTTTCTCCTTGTCTGTAGTCATACGCACACCATCGTCTCTACAAATTGTTCCCACTGTCATAGGCCGATCATTTCTTTGCATCTGCCTATGATATTTCCAGAATTTCCCAATGTTTTATCGCCTCCCATATCATTCACAAAAGTGTCCCACTTTGCTCTTTTGGCCAGTGCAACACAGCGCTTGAAAACCTCCACTTTGTCTCTTTTTCACATTCTCCGCCTTCCTCTCGTGAGCTTGAGGGTGTCTGTAAAACTTTCTTTAGCTGCTTCACTGCGGCTCTCTTTGCCTTCCACGCCTGTTCTACTTCCATGGGGGCTGTAGAAAATTAGTTCCAGCAATTCTGTTGCATGCTACCTGTCTGAGGCGTCCAGGTAGATTGTTGGTCCACTTATACTGGAAGGTCTTGCGTGCTCTCACAGTCTTAACCTTACTGGGTTTAGAAATCAGGACTGAACAGGGTAGGTGATCACTCACATTGTCATTCAGGACAGTCCAATTTAAATCTAAAACCGACGACAGGAAGACAAATGTCAAGTCAATGGCTGTATCTGAAGCGCCAGACCTCATTGCCATCCTAGTCGATATCCCATTATTGATGCAGACCATATCAGTGTCAGCTATGGCCTCTGCAAGAGCAACTCCCTGTCAGTTTTCACAACTGCTGTCCTATTTTCTGTTCCTCTAGTTGAAGTCCCACATATGAGTAACATATCACCTGGTAACTCCTCCAGTTCCTTGAGCCAGTCCTATTGCTTCCCTCTGAGAAAACAGTCTACCGTGACATATATATTTATGAGGTTCCAACTTAAACCACCAGTCTCCACATGTATCCCTTGAACCTTTCTTCTACTGTAGTTCCACTGGCTCAAGTCAAGCAACACATGCTTCACTCCTTTCTTTACCATGTCCATGTCTCTCCTGTCCAACAGGGTTTGTATAACTGACAGGGGAGAGGGGAGGGGGAGGGGGTTGGCGAAAGAGTCCTTTGGATACGGGACTGCATAGCTAGCAGAGTCGCATGGACTGTGCTAATTTAAAAAAAATATGCATGCTTATATTCAAGGGCTCTGAGACAATGTATCACCAACATCCAACAGAAGCAGTCATCATCGTTGGTCCTATTATGCGTGGTCAGAAAGTCACGTATAACTTCACAACATACAGTATAAGAATGGAGGTGGAGGCGGTAACAGCAGCTTTTCGATGGTGCAATGTGGCTTTGCTAGGGTTTGATTATTTCGTCTTTTTTGCAATACTGACGTTATTAGGTACGCTAAGAATACACCAGACAACGAACACTCAGTTATTGATCTTGTTTCGCTGTTCCAACAACCGCACTGTTCATGCGCTCACTTGTGTTTTTGTGGTTGCTACGCATGGCTGATTCCTGACGACATTGCCAACTATCTCACACGGCGATTCTCTCTGCCATTACCTTTAGGATCATACATCTGGATCATGCCAACATATTGTACCTTGTACCTGTACACAATCAAAACTTGTAGTCAGTAGATTTTCATTTCTGTTCTCAAAAAATACACGTGGTCAGACGATCCGCATTCTGCTTAGCTGTTTCTCGTTCATGGCTATCTATCTATCTATCTATCTATCTATCTATCTATCTATCTATCATCTATCTTCTATCTATCTATCTATCTATCTATCATCTATCTATCTATCTATCTATCTATCGATCTATCTATCTATCTATCTATCGATCTATCTATCTATCTATCTATCTATCTATCTATCTATCTATCTATCTATCTATCTATCTATCTATCTAGGGCTATCTATCTATCGATCTCTCTATCTATCTATCTATCTATCGATCTATCTATCAACTATTATCCTATCTATCTATCTATCTATCTAGCATCTATCTATCTATCTATCTGTATCTATCTATCTATCTATTATCTATCTATCTATCTATCTATCTATCTATCTATCTAAGTCATCTATCTATCTATCTATCTATCTATCTATCTACTATCCTATCTATCTATATATCTATCTATCTATCTGTATCTATCTATCTATCTATCTATCTATCTATCTATCTTATCTATCTATCTATCTATCTATCTATCTATCTATCTATCTATCTATCTATCTATCTATCTATCTATCTATCTATCTATCTATCTATCTATCTATCTATCTATCTATCTATCTATCTAGCTATCTATCTATCTATCTATCTATCTATCATCTATCTATCATCCTATCTATCTATCATCTATCCATCTATCCATCTATCCTATCTATCTATCTATCTATCTATCTATCTATCTATCTATC